CTAAACAAATTATGAGGTTTACATACAGTTTACATTTTAATAGCTTTTGTCCAAATAGCTTTAAACGCGGACTAGTCAAGACTCTGTACTATAGAGCGAGGAGAATATGCTCTGCGGAGAAACTAGAGGAAGAATTTACGATTCTCGAAAAGGTGTTGAAAAACAACGGTTATCCTCAAAGATTCATTAACAAATATGGAAGTTGTGAAGGCTCAGATACCAAACAAATCACAGTTGAAAAAATGCCAGTCTTCATTCAACTAGAGTTTAAAGGTGAAAACATTGCAGAAATGGTCAACAGAAGACTGAGAACGTCACTAGCCAGAGCTTATCCTGCAGCTAAGTTGGTTCCCGTCTATCGAGCAACATGCTCTTTGGTGCAGTCATAAGTGGATAGATACCCTTCTCATGTTAACTCCAAATGTGTATACAAATTTACGTGTATCTGTGGGAGCAGTTACACTGACAGAACAGGAAGAAGGGCACACCTTCGATTTTCTGAACATGTGCCGAAAAGCCTACGTCTCAAAGGAACAAACTCTTATAGCAGCGCTATTACCAGACATCCCGTCGACACGGGTCATGAGGTGGAAATCGAGAAACCCTTCAAAATTATCAATAGACAAAGGAGCTCCATTCTCCTCAAGTTTCCCGAAGCATTTTCTATCAAACGCTTGAAACCAGATTTATGTGTTCGGTTATTAGTCTTTCCTTGCCCATTTTGGTAACTGGATGTCTTTATTCTCTCATCTGATTACGTAATCCTTGTCTTTAACCTCACGCTCCTTTTATAATCTGTAATTTTGCTTGTCTCTTGTTTCTATGATTTCAGTTGAACTCAGTACATTGTTACTTAATTTATTGGTCACCCAGTATCTAACGCATATCTTGTCTTTATTACGTAACTCCTTTACCATTGTATGCATGCATTTATTTTGTTGAAACTTGAACTGCCTGTGTAAAAACCATATAAGCGAAATTTTCTGAGCACTGTTCACTAATTGTGGAACTTTCTGTCAACTGACAACATGTAAAGATTTGCAAGTTTGTTAAAACTTTTCTGCACGTAAACCCCATAATTTATTTAGGCTGTAAGCCAGCAGCTGATGAGAAGCCAACGAAATAAACAATGATGGTACCATCTTCATATTCTACACGAACCACACTGCTGTTCTTGCTTTATTCAAATCCAGTAACGTTCTAAAACAGTAGAGAGATCAATCAAGAGGACACTGATAATGTATGTGGCAAAACAATTATTACCAGTTACCCGCTGCTTGCATAATTAAGTTCCATTTTAACAAAAAAGGATATTAGCTTCTCAGATTACAGTAATACTGATTATCTATCTGAGAATCTCTCATTTGGTATTTTCACGCAGTCTACTACTTCTAGGTGATACTAGGATTCATCTACAAAAGCAGCATCTTACAGAAGCCGAGGTAGAATTTGAAGGTATCAGATTACTTTAGTAAAAACAAGAATATTCCCTATTCGTAATAGTTTGACAACCATGCTTAAATGTAACGACACCGTGAATAACTGACATCTCAATTCTACACTGCTAAAAGAAACACAAGTGTACAAATAAAGTCAGCCCTATTTAAACAATACAAGCGAATTATCACTAAGGTTTCCTATGAAATAAAATCCCATCAAAAAGCAGTGGGGGATATCTTCCTGACATCTGCCTATTTTGGACCAATTGAAAGTTTCTTAGGACATATTTTTATGAAAGAAAACAACAGTTTATTCTATATTAGTTAGTTTATTAGAAACAGTATGTCTGTCTGGATTCAACATAGAACTTGTCACCCAAGTGCACCAGTTCGAGTTGCCACGTTCCAAATAGCACACAGAGGTAGACAAGAAGATGAGTGAAGAGAATCAATAGAGTTTGACAAGTATAAGAGCGAAACAGAATAATGGGTAATGGTAGAGAGGAATACGAAAGATTACAGAGACTGAATACATCTGCGCTGGCCATTGACAACGATCACTTTGAGCCATGTCACCTATTGTCTCCAGCCATTGATTCCTAGAGTCCCGAGAGCTCCAACCCGGGAGTCTGAATCTCCCTACCTGACCGACTCAGTTTAACTGTCAAGGATTTCATGGATTGATGAGGCCATGTTTTTGTTTGGCCACCACTGGCTCTTTTCCAACCTGCACCTATATCAGCTAGCAATGCCCGTCGGGGGAGGCGGTGGTTAGGCATGCGCAGCACGTGACCTAGCCATCTTAGTCTATGTAACTTTATAGCCTCGTCGATTGATTTCCCCAGTATTATATACTGGACGACATAGTTTCGAACAAAATTTATTATTGTTCATCATCATGTCATCAATTATAATCACACGACTTTGGAACTTGAATTATACAGTTTCCTTTGTTCTCTCCGATTTGTCGTCGTAGGGGTAGTAGAATTTTCCAGATATCTGGGTGGACGGATGATGAATCATTCCTATTCCATGTATTTACAGTTGATTCGATAAACAAAGCTTCTGTTTTCAATCTCTCCCTCCAAATTGCTATTACATTAGATTTTAAAACTGTCATCCAATACCATCCTATTGTATAGCTGTGTTGTGTGTAATTCCACAGTATTTAAATTCCGAGGGAAAATATACAGACAAACTGAGGGAGTTACCATGGAATCACCAATATCCTCAATTGTGGCAGATGTATTCATGGATAGGTGGGAAAACATAGAGATTGAAACGTTCACTGTGCTAAGAACACAGGATATAGATAGATTTTTCGAACACATTAACTCAAAGGTGGAGGCAATTCAATTCACTTATGAATTGGAAAGTCAGGAAGGGGAGCTTCCAGTATTAGATTGTAGCGTAAAAAGGAAAGAAGATGGAAAGTTAAACACTAATGTTTACAGGAAGCCCACACATTCAAACAGATATTTGGACTTCCGATCATCCCATCCTATATCAGTAAAATTACGATTGGTGAAATGTTTAAATGACAGAGCACAAAAACTAAGTAGTACCAAGGAAAATCTAAGACAGGAAGTGATACACATAAAAGAAGCCTTGGAACTTAATAATTACCCGGATAAACTGGTCAGGAAATATGTAGGGAAATGTAAAAATAAAATAAATAATGATAGTAGCGATGGTGATAATAATAATAATAATAATAATGACACCAACAGTAAAAAATCTAAATCATCAGTAATAATTCCATACAAGGAAGGAACCTTGGAAACTTTATGCAGAATTCTTAACAAGGCAGGAATAAACGTGCCTGGAATTAAAACCATCCACGAACTCAATTAGAAACAAGCTTTGTCGGTTAAAGGATCAATCCTGTGGAGCCTTTAAAACAAAACAATTTAGTCTATCTAATACCCTGCCTGAGATGATTGTCAGATCAAATACATAGGTCAAACTAGTATAACAGGGGCAGTCAGACTAGTCGAACATAAAAACCCAGCAGCAAAATCTAGACTGGTCGATCATCAGACGTCACCGAAGCTTTCGCACATGAAGAAGACATGTAAAAATAGGCAGAACATTTCTGTTCAATCAATCAACTGAAAAATCAAAACTGAATTAAAAAGTACAGGGTTGTTTTGATAAAAACACACTAGTTTTTATGACTACGATACTGAAGCAACATTTCACTACCGACAGACAAAATGAACGAAGAATTCTAATCTATTTCGAAAGTAGTTGAGCGCTTATCTTGCTTACTATAGCTGAAGACTCTCTACCATACTAGTATGGTATACAACTGGCTGCAACTATTGACAAAAGCCTTGTATACAGGAATCATACTTGAGTAACAAAACTCGATCGATAGCCACTACCTCTACATGGTGATCTTCTTTTCAGATAGTAATGATCCAACAAGCAACACTGAGTGAAACTATAATGTTCTTGCAGGCCCTACTATGCCAGAAAGGTTTTTTGGATAGCGGACGATTAAACTAAAATCATTTACCGTCATAGTGTGAGCTGTTTACACTATGCAGGGGGTTTGTAGGAGAAGCAGTACTGTTAAGGAATAGACATGTTCCCCAAGATGATCAGAATGCCAGGTGTGTCGCCTCTTCTCTCTGGAAAAGTGGAGTTAGGAAATATCGGCCCCGAAAACTGTACAAGCTGACTTAATTTGCGGCGGTCCCTGGTTGGCGACAAGATCTTAATGCGGATATAACTCCAATAGCCACTTCAAACAAGACGTGTGTGACCAGAGGTAAGTAGTTGCGTGCCGACGTGTCAACCTGAGACCAAGCACTTCGGTCCAATCAATCGACGGGAAAATCTAAAATTCAATTTAATTCCATATTAGTTTGTTTATTAGATGTATCACACAGTGAAGAAACAGTATTATTTACTGGATGACAAAGTTTCGAACAAAATGTATTGTTCGTAATCATATCAATTGTAATCACACGACTTCGAAACATGAGTTATATAGTTTTCTTTGTTTTCTCCTATTTTTGGTATGGGTAGTAGAATTTTCCAGACATCTGGGACAGGTGTTGAATCATTCCTATTACATGTATTTGCAGTTGATTCGATAAACAAAGCTTTAAAACAAAACAATTTAGTTTGTCTAATACCCTGCCTGAGATGATTGTCAGGTCAAATAGGTCGAACTAGTAGAACAGAGGCAGTCAGACTTGCTGAACATGAAAACTTACCAAAATCCAGATTGGTTGATCCAAATAAGATAAGAAATCTAGGGAATAGTTCAGCTATAGCACTACATGCAGTTACACACAACCATACAATAGGATGGATAGGATGACAGTTTTAAAATCTAATGTCACAGGGTCGAGGGAGGGACTGATAATGGAAGCTTCGTTTATCGAATCAACTGAATAGAATGCGCGTAATAGGAATGATTCAACACCTGTCCAAGATATATGGAAAATTCTACTACCCCGACGACAAAGAAAACTATAAAACTCAAGTTTCGAAGTCGTATGATTATAATTGATATGATTATCAACAACAAATTTTATTCGGAACGTCATCCGGTAAATAATACTGTTTCACTTTGTGATACATCTAACAGACAAACTAATATGGAGTTATATGCTGAAACTCAATCGGTTAGCCAATCATTTACGTGACCCAATAACCATTTGTGTTTTTATGCACTTGGCAATGAGTCACACCAAATGTATGAGGACTACTGATACTACAACAGCAGTAGCTGCCAAAGCCTTGGTAGATGCAGTGGAGTTTGAACTTGTGACCCAGAAGTTGGAAGCCTAAACGAATAAGCCATGGCCCAACTATAGTCAGTTCATTTTTATCGTGGAATAAACTCTAATGAACAACATTCCAAGCTTTTATAAAGTTAGGCTACACCTTTAAACACTTGCAATCGACACGGTTCTTAAAAAGTTAGTCCGTGCTCCTTGCACGAACCCGATCCCTACCGAAATCATTAGTAATGGTTATACTGAAGGAAAGGGAACACATAAAATAGTTTTAAAACTGCATCTATTCAAAAATGTTATAATTAAAAAAGAAAAAGAAAATCAAGCAAGTAAACAAGTGAAATAATTAAGAAAAAAATTTTTTAATATTAATGATATTATAGTACAGGATGAGAAATTAGGAGATAATATAAAAAAATGCTATCCTCAACTATTTGTTGTATATTGTGCTGTATTTTGTTTTGACAGCTGAATTTTATTAATATTATTTAGTTAGTAAATCACAGTAAAATAAATGTATAAAGCTGTACGGAAGTGTTATACACAGTATAGTGTATTATGACGTGCACAGATGTAATTATCAATTCGCATTAATTTAACTGTCGACGGCGAGCTTTCTGTTTATCAAAACGTGCTTCCATTTCCTCCAAAATACGTGGAGTATACCGCACTACAAGCTTCACTGTGCCTAAAACGAAGAGAATTTCATTTTACAGATTTTGAAATAATACATTTTTATGTTAACACATGTATCAAATATTGAATAATCGAAAACAAATCCCTTACAATATTAGTTCAGAATGTGTGTGTGTGCATGTGAAGTGCAGAAATCCATTTCTGTCTGTCTGTCTGTTTTCGACATAGAACTTTGCACAAATGTGCAGCAGTTCAAGTCGCCACACTCCGTGTAGCACGCGAAGCAAGAGAAGAAAGTACAAGAAAAGCATAATAGAGATAGTGAGCAGAGGTGTGAGACAAAGGAGTAATAACGAAGGACAAAACAGTTTCATTAGAGATCATAAGTCACAGCTAGTCTTTTCATGTCTTCCACTCTCAGTGGCCAGGTCTCACAACCATAAAGGAGGACGGAGCGGACTGATGAGCAGTACACACGCCCTTTGGTCGATAGTCAAACATCTCGTCTACGCCAGAGTCGGCGTAAACTAACAAATGCGAAACGAGCCCCTTGTATTCGTGCTGAGATTTCGTCAGAGATCAACCCGTTGGGGCTGATGGTACTTCCCAAATAAGTGAAGCGGTCAACGAGCTCTACCACTTCACTTCCTATTTTTAAACTAGGAGTCGATGTAGTCCAGTCCTGTAACATCATCTTGCATTTGGCGGGAGCGAATCGCATGCCAAACATTCGTAGATTGCGGCTCAAAGTGTTTAGAAGACTCTGCATTTCGTCAGCGTCTTCGCCTAGAAGGACTATATCGTCTGCATATTCCAAGTCAACGAGATTATTCCCCGGTAGCAAGTCAATCCCTGAGTCACTGAAGTCACCTAGGGTTAAGTCCATTAACACATCTATGATGAAGTTGAATAGAAAAGGAGATAATGGGCATCCTTGACGGACACCACTGGTCGTCATCAGTTCAGATGACAGCTCGCCGTAAGCCCTCACCTGGCTGTATGAGTAGAAATCCATTTACTTATAATTTGGACTGCAAAAGTCTAGAAACACACTTAAATCGATTAACTAGGCTGATTAGTGTGGACCAATACCTTAGCTTTCTTCATGGTAGCCAACAGACGCTAGCCTTAAATTCTCTAGAATATGTATCGATTAGGCATACAAGTCAACTTATCATGAAGCTGTTTCTATACGGCAAAAAAGTTATTGTTTGAAATGGAATATAACTTAGAATGAGTAAGAGTTTGATACCTGACAGAAAGTATGAAATACTACGATAGGTAGCAGTATATTATAGAATAACATTCAGACGAAGTCGATGAGAAAACACAGAAATGACATGATCACAAAGTCAAATAACTGGAAATCTTCTCGAAGTAATGCTATTCTACTAAAACCGAAATTTAAGGACTCATTAACCAAATATATGAAGTAAATCAACTAGGATTTACTGCATAACCAAAATCATCAGACATGAATTTAACAGGGCACTACATATATTCACTCATGGCACATTTTCTCCTGCAACCTGAGAAAACCGAAGATAAACTTCACTTATAACATAATAACGACATATAATGGTTAACAGATAACAATCAGCCAGCTAAAATGGGAGGAACCTGAAAGAAACAACCTCCTTCACCTACCTACCTACCTACCTACCTGGGAAGCATCGTTTCAACTATAGGCGGAACTGAAGAGGATATCAAAGCCAGAATCGGAAAAGCAAGTCAGGCTTTCATTACCCTTGAGTCTGTGTGGAGGTCAACAGCACCCAGCATCAAAAATAACATCCGGATTTTTAACTCCAATGTAAAATCAGTGCCACTTACTATACGGATGGATCAGAGACTTGGCGCGTCAAAAAGAGCACCTGAAACAAACTACATACCTTCATTAACAGCTGTCTTCGCTCAATACTCAAGATCAGATGGCCGGCTAGAAAAGATCAGCAACAGGGATCTCTGGGAGCGAATCAACCCACCAGGAGCTGATTGTGAAACAAATAAGCAGGAAGAAATGGAAGAGGTGGATTGGCCATACTCTGATGAATTCATCAAGTGACATCATTAGACAAGTCCTCGAGTGTAACCCGAAAGGGAAGCGGCGAGTTGGTCGTCAGTACAAGGGTGACTTGGAGGAGGTTATGTGAAGAGAAGATGAAAGCATGTGGGCAGACTTAGAGCCAGGTGAAAACTCTGGCAGAGAACCGAACGCAATGGAGACGTCGGGCTGAAGCCTTATGTTCCTCTAGGAATTAAAGGAAATAATAATAATGGTTGACATTCCATAAGAAATTTGATTCAACTTTGAAATGCTGCACTTTAGGCTAAAAAGTGTTAGTTAAACAACTTCACTTCAAAATAAAATACGGAAAATCGCAAATGAAAAATTGGAGGATGTCACACAGCTGTTCAACGAAACCTTGGACAAAGGAACTGCATATTACGTGTTTTACTGGTTGAATTTAGTTACTAGTAAAGAAATACAATAAGGTGACAACACACCTTGAAAAAGACTAGCAGCTTTTAACAGAAACAACCAGATTGATGTCGAAAACTCTGTAGGGAAAATAATGAGCTGGAGGGAAAAAATATCAAGATAATTAGCAATTTTAAACATTAGTTAAATTGGTTAGAAACATGAAAAAAGAACGGGAAAAAAACATAAGGTAAAGTAGTACATACCTTGGGCTAACTTCAAAAGTTCAACAGCTCTTTCATGATGCTCACTTTCTACAGAAACTCCGTTTACAGACAACAATTGATCGCCACGTTTTAGACCACCATGACGATCTGCAACACCACCAGGAATAATTCGACTTATGTATATCGGTGAGTTTTGTTCTTTGCCGCCCATAACATTGAAGCCTAAACCTTCATCAGTTTTCGGTAGTTCTATAACTCGTGGATGAGCATGCCCCTCACTAGCAGCAAAGGCTGCGACAGTGGCTTTCGCTGTTGCACTTGCTTTGACCTAATAAGGAAACGAATACAGATATATATATATATATATATATATATATATATATATATATATTTCACTGGATGTGTCATCATCATTCACTAATGTCCCACTGCTTGAAACAGTCAACTACTTATGTTACCAACCTGACAGAACGAAAGATAGATGTAGGAATCCCACCACAAGAAGTCAGGGAATTACTATTGAAATGGACTATGGATGCCCAGTTTGTGTTCAATAATGATTTTTACACACAAGTTGATAATGTCGCCATGGGATCACCTCCGGGCCCTATGCTAGAGGATATTTTCCTGGCAAAGCCTGAACATAGTCCACTCAAAGACACGATTAAGGGGCTTGACTATTATTGTTGATACCTAGATACCTTCATGGTCTGTGGTAGGAACAAGAACTTCTGAATGCTGTTAACAGTGTTCATCCAGCTATTCAGTTTACATGCGAAGAAAACAACAGTATGTCTTTTTTAGACGTCCTACTCATCAAAAAGGCAGACGGATATCTGCAAAGCAGTCTATTTACAAAGAAGACTTGGAAAGGTTAGTACAACCATTTTCATATCTGCACACCGACTCAATACAAAAGAAGTTTAGTGAAGTGTCTTAGCTATAGAATAAAAACGCGTATGTACAGAGGAATCACTAAGGAAATGTTTAAACTGAAACTTACACTACAAGAAAATGGATATTTGGAGAACTTCCTAAAAAGCATATCTCGATACCTAGAGATAGGGTGACAATGGACACCGTAGATAAGCAACCTTTATATCTTATTTTATTTATTTAGACGCATAAAAAACTTGGTACAATATGGCACCAAGAAGGATGCGCCACACAATAATAATAAAACAGATCAAAAGAAAAAAATATATAAGCAGAGAACGGATAAAGAACTTCATCTGGAAGGAAGACAGTCATGCTTAACAAGTTCAAACAGTGTTCGTTAACTATCATCGGGAAGGGAAGAAAGAAGGAAATTGCAACACATTCGCCACTGATTACGATTCTTGGTCACATCCGATAACGTTTCGAGCCATCGATTTGAGCTATCTCTCGGACCCCAACCAGAGGGTCGTGACACACCAACCGATGCTAATCTAGCACAAAAATCCTTCATCCCACGACGCCACGTCATGGACTGACCACGGCTCCGTCTTTTCCATCCCGTCCCAGGGCCGACTAGCGGAGAGAGACCTGTACAGAAGCCTCTGGGATGACATTCGCAGCACATGTCCAAGCCACTGGAGCCGGTGTTTCCAGATGACGACACTCAATGAATAGGGATATCCACTGTGTTCAAACATACGCCGCCGAACGTCAGAATTACTCACGCGATGACGCCATCGAACGCAAGTAATCCTGCGGACACAGCGATGATCGAACAATCAGAGTTTCTATGCAGAAAAAGTATATCCAACCACTACGTTTACCTTGGACTACAGTAAGACCAACATATCCCCCATTAAACACTAGCACTTTAAATTCTTATCGCAATATTTTCGTTTTTGTCTCCTTTTCCTTTGTTTCACTGACAAACGTACATTCCTGACCTTTTACGACTTCATGATCTTTCTTACGATTTCTATCACCTTGGATTTAAGTAATGCTTTTCTAACTTATCATATTTACAAAATCACGCTCATTTCACTTCACTAAATTCATTATCATCTCATAAGCATTTACAAATAGTTTACACTATGTCATCGCTTTTATTTCACAATCATGATTATTGTCGTTATTTTCACTCTTGGACTTACGTCAATTTTATTTTCTGTATTATGCATATTGTCTAACATACCCCCGATTACACTCACTTTCGAAACCTGCATTTTTGTTGAATATATATATATATATATATATATATATATATATATATATATATATATATAGAGGGAGAGGAGAGATAATGTGTTGGCTTTTATACAATTATTTTCAAGTCAATGTCTGAATCCATTGACTATCTTTTAACACTAAAGAAAGTGAAGTCAAGAAACATCGTTTTTATATTCCATCCGGTTTAACAGAAAATGGTGTATGATGTATCCTGATTACAGTATCACTGATCTTATTCGCATAATTCTATAATCCATTTCTAGGTAGTTAATAAAACAAAATGCATAATATGCCTCCATATGTAAAGTAATTGTTCTAATCGGCATAATAGCAGAACCATTAATTAAGTAAGTTCACTGGATGTGAAATGAACTTACTTCTTCCGAACCATTAATGTCTACAGTCGTATATATGTGTTCGTACACTTCACGGATCATATTGCAGAAATCTGACTGCAGTATGCGCTGCAAAGCAGCTAACTTTGAGGGCTGAATTTCGGGACATCTTTGTAGGATTTCTAGCAGTTCTAAAACCCTGGTAATGTCTTAAAAAAAACTAATAAAAACACTTTCCTAACAAACCTCTTTGCAGACTTAAGCCTTCCGCCATCTTTCAATGTTCCAATGTGCAGTTTGCCAGCTTGTATGAGCCAGATCCGGTCCATACAAGCTGGCAAACTGCACATTTGAATGATCCCCTTCAACATGTTGTTTAATGAAGCCGAAAGAAATCACGGTATTCGATGAATATCTACATTTATAGTCCCATGATTCGCTTGCCTGTGTTTTTCTTATGCTTAGAAGTCGGATTAAATTAATAAGATAATCTTGTAATAAATCTGAACTAATTCTAACATTTGCGCATATAATACCTTTTTATGATAAATGAACATTTTCTATTCTTAAAATGAATCCACTATTTGCCTGAATGACGCTGGTCGCTCTTAAAAAGAACACTGTAAGCTGAATTAATGTGACGAAACCTTAAAACTAAGATTTGTAGGTAAAACGATGCCCTTAATACTGAAATAAAGCTGAAATAATTGCTACTATGTGCTGAACTAGGTTCTTTTGTTGTGAGGTAATGCCAGTCACTGCTGATACAGGGTTGAGAGGGCTGAAATACAGCTGATTAGCAAACCCATTAGGTTTTAAGAAATAATAGTAATAATCACTTTATTCCACAACTTCTGGCAATGCCTAAAATAAGCGCAGGGTGCTGAATTACTGCCAGACATACTGAAGAGCAACACTAAATTCTAGTCTGTGCGCATTTTTCCCCAACGTTTCTCAGTGGAACATACGGCTTCAAGCTAGTGGCTTGAAGTTTCTGTAGCACTGTTTATTTTACAGGATGGGGTTGCTAGCCTCATGCCCAAACTTTCCTCTTTACCACCATTATTTCTGACTTAGAGAGGTAAAGGAGTGCGTCGGTGGCCGGTGATCGAACCCCGGACCATGTGCGTGGTCGGCAAGCGTCCTAACCGCTATGCCACCGACGCTCTTTCTGTGCACATAGTCAAATCATTTCAGAATTTAATCAGCATTGAGTCTCAGACTTAGTTCAGAATTAGCAAGACTTAATTCAGCATTATCGTGAGCCTGGGTTGTCTATGATATATTTGGCGTTAAAATGACTGGAGTCAGTACTTTCACCAGTAAGCCGTATACTGTGACCTCAGCAATTTAGAAGACAGCGATGACTGTAACAAACGTGACTTCCAACAGGAGGAACGATAAATCAATAGGAAGACTCAGGAAAACATACATGCTATGTCAGACGGAATGACGCTACGAAATAGGTTGTCATTTTGCAGGTTAAGACAGTGAGGATCTCGTTAGACAACAGTTACTGCTAGGTTTATGGGGATTTCATCTTGGTTTGGTCAGTCTGGCAATCATCGGGGGACAACCCATCAGTGTCACTATTTCAATTTTTCACTTATGTTGAAGTCGCCACAGCTAAGAATGTGCTCCGGAATCTGGAAACGGAGGAAAGTGAGACGGAACAATAGCTTCACTATTTGGGCGAGGAATCCTTAGTGGAATGCCACAAGGAAGCCCTAGTGACCCGACGACAGGATCTCTCTTTGTGTGGCTGCAATTGCTTGTAGTCTTATTTGCTAACTAGTTGCAAAGTGGCCTAATTTCTGTGGTCTTTTAGACTGATCACAAGTGAACATTTTTTTTCAATCACACTTAAGATTTGACGCTATATCTATTTCCTTATTTGTACACTTCATTTTAAATGTTTCTCTCACATTTACCAGTATTCAACTTATTTCTAAGTTAACAAATCATATTATATATTCCATAAGTTTTCATAAGTGTATATATGTTCATGCCTGTAAAAATGGCTGGTTTCTGTTGCAGAAATAAAAATTATTATTATTATTGTACTCATGTTTTATAGGCCTATATGGAGAAGTTTAGGAGAGTGTGACCAGTTGTCTGTGTGTATAATGTAGGACGGCATACGCTTTGCTGGCATCCATAACATGTTTTGCATTTGTTCATTTGAACTCCAGCCATTCCACCTTTAACAGCCAATTTGTTTACACGTGCGTATTGAAACATATGGTGGTCATTTCGATTTTAAAGGGACTAAAGCTCGTCGACTAAGTCGTGGTGTGGCTATGTGTCTTTATACACTGTTCCTATCATTGTTGACAGGATGTGTAACATTTTCCATCACCTAGTTGGAGTGGTTTGGTCACTAGGTAAGGTGGATCAAGCTGAACAGTTAGCAGGTGGAATAGTCGTAGCTCAGGTTTAGCAGGACAGATGGACACGTAGCAGCCACTAGTGGTGGTTTTAGTCGAATCCAAACAGGAGCGAGCTCGAAGCCGTCCAAGTCTGACATCGAGTCTGACATTAGGGCCAGTCAATCTCATCATACAGAATTCGATGAAGGTCACAACTCAGCATCAACCGATACCTATGTCAGTTCACTCCACTTCCTACCACATATGTTGCATCCACGTCTACTTACCTATCCACTGAAAGTGATACGGATCTACGAAACGTTTTCGCGTGAACCGCTATACTACATCACTTTTCAAAAATTACATGTGGATGCTTCAACATGTATGATGTAATTATCAAACCACTTCGACCCCTAGGCTGATATGGAGAAGTTATTGACATTCTCAACTTATTTATACTCTTCAAGGTCATTAGGAAATGTTGTTATAGTAACTCATCCATAACGTGGGAAAATGTTAAATCACATCAGCTGCGAAACCACGACTACCTAGTCAAGGTGGCTACCCACAGAAAATCCATTAGGGCAAACTTTTCACCACTAAATATTGCAATCTTTGGAACCAATTACCATCTGAAATTAGATGTTGTGAAAACCCCGATGGGTTCAAATGGAGCCTAGAAAGACACATTAAAATGTCCACCCTAGCCCCTCTAAAAGAACACAACTGTTGGTAGAACGGAAATTGAAAGCCAGTCCAGTCTTCAGTATGTCACATACGTATAACTCGACTCTAATACTTACGCAGCGAACGTTCAACTAATTTACTGATTTTCTATTATCTATAATCTTCACTAATTTGTGTTGGTAAAAGTAACTCTGGAAATAATTATATTAGCAGCCACACCTTTTGTCAATGTCCAGGTCTTACTACACTGAACCTCACGCTGTCCTTGAAAGACTTTCAGAAACTATGCCATAAACAAGTCACTTCAGCCTAAATGACTGGAAATATCAGGCTTCGTAAATTGAAGACTCGTAGGATTACTTCCGGAATATCATGGAAAGACAGGGCTACCAAAGGACCACTTGTACCTGCCAGCAAGCATGGTAACATAACATGGACCCTGCTGCAGTCTAAAGTTACCGACTACATAAAAGACGACAAAAGACCAAACCCAAATCTGCGATCAGTCGACAAAACCTCCTTATCCATTTTGATAAACCAGTGTTTAATTATAGTCAGCTTCAACAAAGTCCTCTGTTTGATCAGCAATATTAGTCTAATTTTTGCTATAAATTATGGCTAGACGTCAAGTCGGAAAGACCATACAGACTGTACGGGGGTGTTCAGGCACCTCAAGGTAAGCTACTTCAAATAAGGGACTCCTCCGAAAAGTCTGAAAGGACATTGTTACTGGCATAAGCGCTGGCTATCGACAGAGCTTCCAGCATAAGTGTGAGGCATGATAGGTCATGGGGCAACAGGCAAATGGCGAGGGAGTCACCGGAACCAATGCTCTGTACCTCTGTGTTCCGAAACTAGAAACTGGCACTGCTTGTGAAAAACACATGTGTGATGTACAGCGATGGAGATGGATGTCATCTCAAATGACCCTTGGAGCTTCCGGAGCGGTCTAGATTTTCAGGCTACCTCATCCCGCTCATCTCACACTGATCAGCTCCTCAACATTGCTCAGCGTAAAATTCAAATGCCAGGAACCGTTGGCTCGAGTATTTCAACGGCGGCATGAGACCAAGAGTGAACTGGGAGGACACACCCAGTGCTGTGAAAGCAGACCTCAAACCATAGACAGGCAGTAAACGGAGGTCACCGCTGAGAATGACGGTCAGCGACATCCAAGTGTCCTACCCGAATCCAAGGAGAAAACGACAGCGGGCCGGTTCCATCGAAATAAGCCAACTGGTCTCAATATTAAGTCCCCTACCAGAAGACAACGTGACGTCCACTACCCCGCGACACCCTGAGGTTGTGAGACCAGCTCTCAGCTACCAGCAATGTGAGACAGTCGAGAGGGAGAGTAGGTGAACTCAGAAACCTCTAGTCATCCCTACTTAAATCCGACTAGCCTCACTATCGCTGACGACGAGATCAGTATAAGTGATATTGCTCTAAATCGGGATAACAAGGAGGGGGAGTTGAAATATGCTTGACAAGCAACTTAAATGTGTACGGGCGATGGACCAACCATTTATTGAACTCTCAAACTCCATATGGTGTCATTTCACCATAGGCCACACCAAGCATTTACTAGGTGGCATATACCGATCACTGACCTAGGGATCAGGGCACAACCAGCTACTGCTCAGCACCATCACAGGGATATGAAACTACGGCAATGACCAAATCACCAGAACTGGAGATTTCAACGGACCATCAGTGAACTTTAGCTCGGAGTATGCTCGGGGAAAATCAGGTTGAAATCCACTAGTAACCATTAGAAATACAGGACTGACTGAGAATGTTAGCGAAGACACTAGGCGCAGTCCAAGTGAAAAGTTATCGAAACTATATTATATTCTAACCGACGACCAGTTTCTAGTCGAAAACTTTCAAATCATGATACCCTCAGGAAGTAGTGACCACGCAATCATGGGCTTTGACCTAGTTTTTCTTGAGCGCCTACATTGGGGCGCTACGCCGCCCTCTCTGGGCTATAAGAAGGCTGACTATGCCTAAATGCTAGAGCTTTTGTTCACTGAAGAATAGTCCATAGACTGGGCTAAGTTATCACTGTATGAGCACTTGAGAGTATTAATATGGTTATTCACGCAGCAGTTTCAGGTACCATCACTGTAGTCACAACACATCTCAAGAAAAGGTCATCATGGTTGCAGAGAGGTACTCAAAGTATCCTGCAAGTAAAGACGAAGGCTTGGCCTACGTGGCGAATATCCGAAAATCAGAACAGCCACGGTGCATGCCTGGAACACAAGAATCAGTGCAACGTGAGAGTCAGGAGTTACAAAAT